ACGTTTCAGCGAGAAGATTTTTTTTGAGTTTTTGGGGTAGGAATAGTTCAATAGTGCCAAACTTTTTATTCGAAAAAAGCAAAGTTAAATTATTCATAGTCCGATTGCAATTGAGAAGCCGTCGTAATCCTGAATGAAGGTCTCCTGAAAAGAGAATGATCTGTAGCGAAAGCTTTATCTTTTTATGTTCAAACGTGATGATTCGATGATATCTCGTTTCTGGGTCCACATGCGCTAGCGCCCGTCACTGACCGGTTTCTAGCAAATTGCGCGAAATTCTGCTGTAATAGTTGCCGAATTACAAAGACTTCACATCATTGAGCGTAACTGTTTCATGTTCTTCATCCGGCATCGATCCCCCTTCCCATGAGCGATGTGTCTGCGGTGATTATAGGGGAACTGCTTGCTTCTCGGCCCTTTACGGCTTAGAAATTTACACCTCCCTTTATTCCACGATTATCCGAATGACGCAATCTCCCGCATGAGTGTGGGCAGTGAGCCGCAAGCGCGGCTGATACTAGCTAGCGATAGTTCGCCTGCGTCTTCGACTAGGTATTGTGTATGTGTCTGCCGTATCGTTCGGCTCTCCACTCTCTCATCCTTTTGCCTTTTAGTCTCTCCGCAGGGTCCTCGGTGTCTCTTCGCGGCTCATGCTCCAAAATGATCTGCGAAAAAGGTGTCAGAAATGAGTAGGAGCACTTTCTACAGCTCATCCTCTCTTTTCGTGATTAAGCCACTTATATCCCGACTGGCTACTAATTTCCCTGATTTTTGCCGACTGTAACTGTAAATGCTATTCCTGTAAAAATTAATTTTTCCGCAATATGTTCGGTTGTCGCTATGACATCAGTCTCGTAGAGACATTGTTTGCTCTGGTTACTGGTTAAAAGGACCTCATCCCTTGGGATTTCCGATCACTTCTTTCAAGGTTTCATTTCTGGTTTCCTCTTCGTTCTCCTTCTTTCCTTTCTCGGCCATTTCGCCGCAGCTACTTTTATTTTTACGATACCTTCGTCGGGATGGCCACTGATGTGTGGCGTAATTTTTTGGATGTAAAATACTCGCTTTTTATCTGAAAAGGTCTGAATTAAAAAACTGAAACTGAAATCAAATAAGGAAAAGAAAAGGAATAAGGTTAAAAGTAATATGCTGCTGTACGACTCTCTCTGATACTAGTTCTGCCGTTAGTAATCACTACATAGCTTTTTACTTCTTCTTTTTCTGATGAATCGGAAGAAACTCGTTCTAGGCTATCGGCATCCGCCGTTTCGTGCTTTTTTTCTTATCGCAAGCCAGACTATCGAAGCTGCTGAGGTCACATGAAGGGGTCGTATTAAGGGGCACTCAGTTAGCGGAAAAGGTTCCGGAAACCAACTTTCCAAGGCAGGAGACTGGAGTCTTGAGGACGATGTGAATTCTTATTGATTGGTCGAGTTATTGAGCGCAGACACACCGCGTCCACAAATAAATAAATAAATGTGTCATCCAGACGCTCGTGAGAGTTTCGTGAACGAGGAAGTTGCTGCTGAAGGTGTTTGGGTGAAAACGTCTGCTGCGAGCTCTTACAATCAGACCACTTGTCGCTAAACCACAATCTCGCATTCACTGCCTTCCCAGCTAAGAACTGCTCAAGTGGAGTCTCCAGTGGCAGGAGGGAGTTTCACTTCCCAATAGAAGAGTGGACAGAGTAATTACTCAGTACCCTTAGACC